ACTTTTTGAATGATCGTTTTGAATTTGTCCTCCAGGTTCTGATTCGTATCGCCAGGGCCGAGGCCATCGCCGCACGCTACTCCTACATCACCATCTGCGTGCTGAGGACGGAGGAGGATTTGGGCTTCTATGATAATGCCATTAACAGCTTGGACGCGGCTAAGGAGTCGGTGGTGACGTTCGGGCCGTGGAAGGCCGCCCTGTTGGTCGAAGATCTGCTGGACTGTGTAAAGATGGACATCGAGAGCCAGGGCTACAGGGTGAGCATCCAGCCTCACGCCGTGCAGCACAGCTTCCTGTCCAGGAGCTACAGGAACTACTTTCATCAACTCACATTCACCTGGTGGTGATGAGACGGCTGAACAAAACTGGAAACCGTGCATACTCTTTCTTTAAAAAAATTACAGACTGCACTTTGTTATGTTTTTGTTATAGAGCCACACTAAAGCAACGGCTCAGTAAAGCATCGGTATATCATTAATTTCAAAGGTACTGACTTCCTGAAAGATGGAGAAAAAAAGAGGGCTTGTAGCTTCTGCTTGTGATGAGTGAAGTGCATCTTTCCTAGTAGCCAGCAGGGGGCGACTTCTCAGGTTTCAGAAGTCCAGCTGACCTCAGGGGACACTTCAGTGATGAGTTTGGGGTCTTACTCTCTAGCTTTCAGTCTTGTTTACTAGGACATGATGATATGTTTTAATCATTGTCTCTGTTAGTGTCAGCCTTGTGATTCTCATCTGCCGTGTTTGTCAGTCAGAGCCACGCCTCACCGTTTTTTCCTTTTCAAACTTGATATTTTTATTTAAACAATAAATGTTCAGCTCAAGGCTTCACAGCAGGACCTGAATAATCAGTGGGTGATGTTGCATTATGGCTATGTTAATGTTTCATGTACAGTCTGTGGGTTTAAGCGCCTGCTGCCAAGCAAAGATTTCTATCTTTTAATTCATTTCAGCTGCTTATAAATATAAATGTTGGTTCATATTCAGTGTTGTGTTGAACAAACACTATCTACTCTATTATTAAATCTTCTTGTCCACCCGCAGGTCTCAGTAGTAACTTGTTTAATTAGACGCCATCGTCCACACGTGAAACTCATCCTACTGTTGTTACTGTAGTGGCAATTCCTTTTGTTTGAC